GTTACAAACCCCCCCCCGGGGGGGGCCAGCCCCTTCCCCCGGACCTGGGAAATTGGCCCCCCAAAACCCCCCCCCCCCCCCCTCTCGCTAGTCCTACCGCGTCCCCCCCCTAGGACAACGCAACGTCGCCGAAGTTAGTTTTTCCCCCCGAATGGCCATCGGGACTGCAAAAAAAAAAAAACAGTGTGCGCGGGGGGGGGGCGACGGGGGGTATGGTGAGAAAGCGAAGAGGACTTAGAGCGCACGAAGAAAAAGAAAGAAAGAAAAGGGGGGACAGTGATAGTAAAACGCGAAGAAGTAGCTCTCTGAGGCTTGACCCTAAATCATCTTGTGAGAACAGGATCTTGGCAACGAAATCATCTGGCAAATATTGATCTTGCTGCATTACTAACTCATCCTGCAAGAACATGATCTTGCAAATTTAGCTTTCAATCACGACAACCCGAATCGGCGCAATTAGCACCCAGGGATGGCATGGCAATGACGTCCGTCGTTTCTCCGGAGATTTCGAGTCGGCCTCTAAAAGCCCAAAAATAATCCCAACAAATTATTTAAAACACCCCTTTTACATTAGTTCACGAAACACCCTGCCAAATAAATCATCCAGCAATAAACGATCGCAACAAACACAAAACAAAAAAAAAAAGACCTCCGTCTCACCACGAAAACTGGGGGGACTGTCGACACAATAAATAGGAAACCACAGCAACTCACCGAACCGACAGAGAACCCTCGCTTGTGAGCACCAGCACCTCCACGCTTGGCGGCCGTGTTGCCGGCGATCTTCTTCTCGTTGCTCGCGATCAGGTCGCTTACCGAAGAGGACTTGCTAAGGGGTACCAGCGTCTCCTCGTTCACTTCTGGCGCGGTATTGGGCACGCTGTATTGGTCCTGGAAGGCAATCAACCGCATTGTAGATATTACGGAAAGAAGAAAAAAAGATCAAGTGACTAGAATGCATACTACATATGCATACACCCAATGCAAGAAATTGGAGTGCGCTTCATTGGCAAAGCTCCCCATGTACAACGTGGAGACAAGCTTGGAGAACACAGTTCTTTTGTTTCGCACGAACGAGGTGGCGAGAACCAAATCGGAGAACCCAGTCAGCGGCAACAAAACAAACCACGCAAGACACACACACAACAAAGCGCGTTTCAAACCAATTGCAGAACAGAAAAAAACATAGGCTACCTTTAGTTTGTTGTTGTTGATGTTGTTGTTGTTGTTGTTGTTGTCTTCACATTGAAAACCGTTCCGGTCTCCGCTCAGACCTTCTAATGTCTGTACTAGTTCAACTGACGCGCACGCTTTCCGTGGTCACAAGCCAACTGCCCCCAAGGGGGGGGTACCCCTCAATGTAGCGTGACAACACGGCAGGCGGTGGCACTAATACTGGTGTTTCTTACGGTTCCCCCAAGCATCACACAGCGAAAAGCTCCCCTACCTGTGGGCAACAGGCTTAGTTGTGTCGTACATACACTACATACGCATACGGGCCGCCTACGCAGGAATTTAAGAGTATCTACGTATACAGAAAAAATATTAGGGAGGGGGCACGCAGACCGTATCCCAAACCCTAACCCCAACCCCAAAGCACGGATTCAATACTTTACCCCATATGTTTGCTTAATCAATTCTGCTGCGTAGACTACTGGAGTGTACGGCAGTCGTGCCACAAGGCACTGACTACTGTAGTAGGTGACAGCGACGTGAGTTGGTGGTTGCGCACCCGGGAGATGGCGGCGAGCCCCAGGCTACTGCTGCTGCCGTGGCTGCCGCGGCTTCCCCGCCTGCGGTGCGTGGGGCGCGTCCCGCCGTAGCTGCTGCCCACCGAGCCGGAGCCTGCGAACGCGGAGTCACTGCCGTCCGATGACCCGAAACTGTTCGTTTTTTTTGTGTGTGTGTGTGTGTGGGGGGGGGGGGGGGCGTACTCTTATGTTTTGCATGTCTTAGCGGTTAGACCATTGACCACCCCTCCTCCAGAGG